GTTAAGAAACAGCTTAAAGTATGAATATCACGTATGATTCCTAAATACTCCTTACTTACCGCCAGCAAAAAGGATAACTATGTTTCAATTGAGATTGAATAATTAACCGGTTTTTTTGTTTCAAAATTTTTTGGATGTTTTTATCTGCTTCCTAGTAGGGATTAAATAGTTATTATTTTCATTATTCTAGGTTTATACTTTATAATTACACGTACTTTAACGTAGATTCCGGCAAAATCGGCCACTTCTTGAGTGAAACGACCTTGTTCATCAACTGGGCACGGAAGGAACCCATCTTCAGTAATAATTTTATTTTCGAGGCATATACGGTAATCCTCTTCGCCAAATGCTGGAGCTTGGTGCACAATTCCTGTTCCACTATCATCCGTAACATATGTATCATTTAAAACAATAAACCCTCTACCTTTAAACTATATGTTAACATGGTAATAACATAAGCAATTAAATTTCTATAAATCTAAGATAGATAATAAGAATATTAAATTTTTATACCTGGGAAACAAAATAGTCAAATATTGGAATATATTCCCATCCTTTCATGTCTTTACCAAAGAACCTTTGTTCCTGTCTCTTATACACATCTAGATGTGTATAAGAGATATGTATAATTCTAGCTAGAATTAAGAATTATAACTTTAATTAAATAAATCTGACCAATAAAATTACAGGATTAAGTATTACATAATATAAAAAATTTGGCCGCTTAAAAATTTTTTTGTTGGGACTAGGTTGTATACACTGTATAAAAAAAATCATATGATATACTGAAAAAATACTTGAAAAAAATGAATTTGCAAAAAAAAGTTATACATTCATATTGCAAAATAATGAGTTTACTATGCGTGCGCGTCAGATTTACACCTTAAAATATACCAAATTTCAATATTTCATTTTACTATATTGCATTATTTACATTAAAAACCTATAATTTTTAGCTTCTAAAGTTGTTTTTAAAAGCTTTTTTGAAATATTTTTATTATTAAAAACAAGTGAAAATTGAAGAAACCCAGTTACAGAAATATAATTATAAAATTTTTTGGCAAATATGACTTGTTATAAAATGAAAGAAAATATTGTATTTATGATATTTCTGTTTGTAAAATGGTTGAAACTTATTTTGCACGCAAGATGCAAAAAATGCTTTTTTTTATTATCGCTATTATTCCCAAATTTTATTAGTAACGCAGTGCTGATTTTAGGCAGATCGGCAATTAATGTAATATGGAATTTTCCAAAAAATGTGATAATTGTGATACTTTTTAGTATAATTTAGTAAAATACTACATTTTTCAGTGTAATGCTATATTTATTATTAAGCAACATTTGACTAAAAAGACGTAAAATTTACTAAAAATATAGAATTTTTATAAAAAATGCATCATTTACCAGAAAATCAAAATATTTAACAAAATTAGATTTTAATTAACAATGTTACAACAATTTTATGAAATATTATTAAAATGTAAAATTTTCATAAAAATGCACTATTTAGCAGAAAATTGGAATATTTGACAAAAAAAGTAAAATTTGATTTTTGTTATAATGATATTATATTGGTAGCAAAATATAAAATTTTTATAAAAATGCACTATTTGACGAAAATCAGAATATTTGACAAAAAAAAAGCAAAATTTGATTTAATTGATAATGTTATAACAATATTATGAAATATTGTTACAATAATATTACATTGGTGGCAAATGCAGAATTTTCATAAAAATGTACCATTTGGAAATATTTGACAAAAAAAAAGCAAAATTTGATTTTAATTTTTTAATTGACAATGTTATAATAATATTATGAAATGTTACTAAGGTTGTTTATCTAAATCTTTTTAAAATCCTACGATTAGTTTCGTCAAAATTTTACTATAGATTTATTATAGTTTCAGCAGAGTTTTGGCAGTTTCGGCATTTATAATAAGTTTCGGCAGTTTCGCCTTTCTCCAAAATTTTGCCAGTTTTTTAATATAACTTTAATATAGTTTTGGCAGAATTTCACTTTTCGGCAAAACGCCATTTTGCCTAAACCCCTAGGTTACGGCAAGCAACCTTAAATGTTACATTTGAGATATAATATAACATCCAAATTTTCATAAAATTTGCTAAATCGGACAATGTTGTAACAATATTATTTCAAACAATTGCTTAGTATAATACAGCATTTTTCACAAATTTTCACCATTTTCCAGGAAAATGTGGAATTTGCATTTTTTGAAATTTGGACAATAGTGTCCTTTTGACTTGTGATGAACATTTGGTTTACTTATAAATTGATGAAAATTTTTCATAATATAATCAAAAAAGTTCATTTTCAGTATCTAATAATTTACTCTAAGTCTTATTTTTAAAATTTTCTTTATTTTCATTAAGAATAATATTAATATAATTCTTTAAAGTAGATGTTTACACTTTAGGATTAATGTCTCTTATGGTTAACATCTTTCTAGCAAATTTCTTTTCTATTTCTTTTGTCAGATCTCAGTTATTTTTCTGAATGCATAAATTATGAAAATATTGTAGATATATCTGTCCATAAAAAAGAAACAAATACTGTTAAATATCTTTTGTTTGTGAAAATATTATGTAGAAAGCAGAAAATAAGACTTACTGCTGAAGTTTCCTTTTTTCAAATGGTCTTTTATTGGATGTATCCAATAATGGTATTAGATTCAATGGAGTTTATGGAGTTTGTAAAGTTCCTACAGGTGATAAAGATCCAAAAGTTTCTGAAGTTTATAAAATTTGTGAAGTTTCTACAGGTAATGGAAATCCCAAATTCATGGAATTTGTAAAGTTTTTACAGATGATAAAAATCTCAAAGTTTCTAAAGATATTAGTTAACCAGTATATAAAAATTCTGCAATATTAGTCCATAAAAATCTGCATAATTTTATTGGATTTTATTTATAAGTCTTGCATAATATAGATAGACTTTTTTACATATTGTATTTTATGCATTTTTGTATAAATCAAAATAAAAAAATTATTTAATAAAGAATACTACAAGTATTTTCGGTGATTTTTTAATATTTTAAAATCATTTATAATTATTGTAAAAATCTTAATTTTTTAAAAATTTTTAATCAACTATTTAAAATATTATATTTATTATATTCCAATGGATAGTGACACATCATTAAATGGTAAGTAAAAATTACATTACGATGGATGGATTTAAATACTGGTTGCTTTTATATTTAAAAATATTACCAATCTTTAATAAAAAATAAAATAAAAGTTGATTCATTAACCTAATAACATGAAAAAATAATATATGGTTAATAATAAGTACAAATCAAATAAATTAATCATCATATTTACCTCTTGTTCTTCTTCTATAATAATTTCACTACTTTCAGACTTTTCAGAAATAGGTAAAAGAGGACGTTTCAAAACTTTAACAATAAAATCTGATTGAGATTGTAGAACTTTTTCAATCCGATTTTCAGTATCCTTTGTAAGTTTATAATACATTAAAATTGGATCGATAGGTTGCAACCCTGCCTGTAAAATTATTAACCGGTAAAATATTATATATTTATTATAAAGAATATTAAATTTTATTAATAAATAATTATCATTTTACCTTTTTCCTGAGTCTTTGCACACGATTTACAATTTCTCGTGCATATCCTTCTTCCTGCAAATCTTGATAAACTTGGATATCCAAAAGGATCAAAACATCTTTATTGTTATTTGTTTCATAATGACTATTAGCATCCTCAAAGTATCTGACTACTTGTAAGTCCTCTTCAAAAATTTTGATCCCATTAATTGTAATCTCTCCATTTTTAACAAACTCTTTGACTTGTTCAGAAGTCAATTTAGGCAAAGCTTCTTTAATCTTTACAGCATCTTTCTTCAGTTTCTGACCTAATACTTTCCAGTCTGCTTCTGCTCGATATTTAATACCAAATTTATCTTCTTCAGATGTGACGACAAGATTTTTAACATTCAGTTCCTTATTAATTATTTAGAAATCATTATAAGTAAATGCACCGATTTTTTTTAATAAATATATTGAATTTAATTGATACCTCAATAATATAATTTTTCAATGAGAGGATATCAGAATGATATTGAGAGTCTGAATGGATGACAATCAGTTCTTTTAATGGTGTCTATATGATGCAATAAATAAAGTTTGTAAATAAATATTTAATTAATTTTTGCGAAGGTATAATATACAAAAAATTTCAAACCTTAAGACCAATATTATTTTTCTCGCGGATATAGCGACCCATTTCAATAACTGCTTGCATACGTGAAACAATTCTTTCAATCTCTAAGTCAAAATATTCTTCTCGAATTTCTGGAAATGATAAGAAATGCACTGAACGAACTTCCTCATTAGTACCGGATGATGGAAAATATTTCTGTAATCTTTGGTACATATATTCGGTAAGGAAAGGAGTAAATGCAGACTATAAAAAAAAAATTGTTTTTTTTAATTTTTAATTAAGCAAAGACTAAGGTTTGTGTATTGATTAAATTTTTTACCATAGAACGACATAACGTAAATAATACTTCATAAAGTGTGTTGAGAGCATCTATAGTATCTTCAGGGCCATTTTCTCCTTTCAGGCGCTTGCGGTTAAATCTAACATACCAGTTTGTCAGCTGTTCAATCAAACCAAGTAGCCGAGGCACAACCGTGTATAAACGATATGCTAGTAATGAATAATAACTTGTAACATGAAATAATATATTACTTTTGAAATGAAGAAAAATGAAAATTTTCTTTACCTTTCATTTCTTCTCTCACAAATTTTATCAGACTTTGCGAACATGCTAAAATCCATTTATCCATAACATTTGTTGATTTCTTTGCTAATGGATTGTAAAGAAATTCTATGCCTGATTCCTGTACATAATGAAAATTTAATTATTAGATATAAATAAGTATTCAAATTATTTTTCATTATCGAATCAGATCAAACCAACCTTTTGAAGAAGGGCCACCTGTGATATGAAAAATCTATAGGCATTATACCAAGGCAAAAATATTTTTGAAATTACTTCTTTAACTCCATCTTCTTTAAATCTCAATGGTTCAGCACGGACTACTGGAGAGTTAATAAGATATAACCTTCATAATAAAACATAGTATATCAATATATGTAAATTTTATATACACAGGTTTTTTAAACCCAAACCTTAATGCATCAGCACCATAAGCATTAATGATAAACATGGGATCAGGATAGTTTTTGAGACTTTTGCTCATTTTCTTCCCATCACTGTAAATAAAAAAAAAAAAATAATTAACTAAAATTTCCACAATTCCTAGTAATATAAAAAGAGTACATACGATGCTAAGACCAAACCATTAACGATCAAATTTTTAAATGCAGGTTTATCAAACAAATGCGTTGATAATACCATAAGAGTATAAAACCATCCTCGTGTTTGATCTAAACCTTCTGCAATAAAGTCAGCGGGAAAAGAGGATTCGAATCTTTCTTTATTTTCAAAAGGGTAATGACATTGTGCATACGGCATGCTTTTTTTCATAAACATTATTAGTAAAATAAAACACTTCAGTAAAATTCTGCGAAAAGTAACTTTATAAAAATCCTTCAAACCTGCCAGATTCAAACCAACAGTCAAAAACTTCTTCTACTCTTTTCAGTTGACCTTTTCCTTTTTTCGAAGGAATAGTTATTTGATCAACCTTTTCACGATGAATATCAGTTAATTTATCACATCCGGACAATTCTTCTAATTCTGCTAACGAACCAATACAAACAATCTATGAATAATGGAATAAGTGATGTTAGAAACATTTTGATGAGAGATAAGCACGAAAGTTTTAAAAAAAGCAAAAAAAAAAATTGGTACATTTACCTCTTCATAGTCATCGCTAACCCAAAGAGGAATCGGAGTACCCCAATAACGATTTCTAGAAACGTTCCAGTCACGTGCATTTGTGATCCAGTTAACAAATCGCTTTTCTTTAATAGCTTCAGGGACCCTGAATGAAACAAAAAAGCATTAGACTATCATGAATTAATTAGATTTATAAATTTTTGCTAATATACTTAACTCACCAATAACTTTCTTTATTATTTTTTAGTAATTTGTCTATGATTGGTTTGACTCTAACAAACCACGAAGGAACAGCTTTGTATATCAACGGCGTATCTGAACTAAATTTTTATAAGCGTTACCAATCTAATTCGAACACCAAAAAGTTAAGAAACAGCTTAAAGTATGAATATCACGTATGATTCCTAAATACTCCTTACTTACCGCCAGCAAAAAGGATAACTATGTTTCAATTGAGATTGAATAATTAACCGGTTTTTTTGTTTCAAAATTTTTTGGATGTTTTTATCTGCTTCCTAGTAGGGATTAAATAGTTATTATTTTCATTATTCTAGGTTTATACTTTATAATTACACGTACTTTAACGTAGATTCCGGCAAAATCGGCCACTTCTTGAGTGAAACGACCTTGTTCATCAACTGGGCACGGAAGGAACCCATCTTCAGTAATAATTTTATTTTCGAGGCATATACGGTAATCCTCTTCGCCAAATGCTGGAGCTTGGTGCACAATTCCTGTTCCACTATCATCCGTAACATATGTATCATTTAAAACAATAAACCCTCTACCTTTAAACTATATGTTAACATGGTAATAACATAAGCAATTAAATTTCTATAAATCTAAGATAGATAATAAGAATATTAAATTTTTATACCTGGGAAACAAAATAGTCAAATATTGGAATATATTCCCATCCTTTCATGTCTTTACCAAAGAACCTTTGTTCTATAGTATATTTTGCTTTTTTCGGATCCTTATATAACACATTCAAACATTTTTCTAAAAGTACATATGTTCGTCCGGACAGCTCATCCTTGATTTTAATATACTCATATTCAGGATGTGTACAAAGTGCTAAATTGCTAGGTAAGGTCCACGGAGTTGTTGTCCAGGCAAGTAATAAAGTCTCAGGCTCATTAACCAATGGAAAAGAAACGACAACTAAGAAATAGATGATAATTCGCATATATATTATAAAGATAATTAGGTTATATAAGGGGGAAAAATAGATCTTACTTGCAGGATCATTAACATCCTTGTAATTTTGAGCAGCCTCAAAATTTGCAATCGGAGTTGTACAAGCAGTAGAAAAAGGCATAATTCTAACTCCACGATATACTTGATCTTTCTTATAAAGTTGGCTGAAAACCCACCAAACACTTTCCATAAAAGATGTATTAAGAGTCTTATAATCATTATCAAAATCAATCCATCGACCAATGCGTTCTACTGTTTCTCGCCAAGCATCAGCATACCGCATGACAATGCTTCTGCACTCGTAATTATATTTATCTATACCCATCGCCAAAACATCATCTTTCCCCTGTAACGATATTTTGATATAAATATATAAGTAATAATAAGCATGATTTTAGGTTGTTCCTTATACCTTAATGTTAAAAGTTTTATCTATTTCATGTTCGACTGGAAGCCCATGGCAATCCCAACCAAATCGGCGCTCAACATAATGTCCTGTTAATGAAGCGTATCTGGTCACAATGTCCTATTTCAATTAATGGAGAATCAATTTTTACTCATTTCTACAAGCTTTGATCCTTCTAAAACACGTCGCGCTTGCTTAAATAAATACCTTTATTGTGCCTGCTAACAAATGCCCATAGTGGGGCAATCCAGTTGCGAAAGGAGGTCCATCATAGAAAGAAAAGGAAGGCTTTCCTTCGGATAATCGAATTTGTGTTCTGAAAGCATCAATTTCACGCCAAAATTCTAGGATTTTTTCTTCTTCTTTTGGAAAATTAAACTGGCCTATAAAAGTAAATTTGTCTTAAACTTTCTTAAAAGGCCTTAACAGTTTTAAAAGACAATATTTTTGCATTTTATTAAAATTACCGTCTGTCTGGGACATTTTTTTGCGAAAACTTTTGGCCAAAAATATTTGATCATTTTATTAATTTATATTCGAAAAAAAAAATTGTATATCTTTCCTTTGTTAGATAGTGCTGGCATTTGACTCACTTTGACTATGTAACTTAATAAATCCGCAGCTTACGGCTTACCGCAGGTGTCACGTGTAATAATCCGGCAAAACTAACTGCTTACAAATTTGTCAAACGAGAGTCACTAATCAGATTTTTATTAAATTTCATTGATTTTTTTTTTGCTTGATTCCTTTTGAATTTGAGTGCTTTTTTATACTTTTTACTCAGGAATAAAGACCAAGTTTTATTTAGTTCTATTGGGAAACAATGTCTACTGCAAATGATAATTCTAACCGTTCGGCGCAAGAAGTTGGTTGGCTTTTTGTACGAGAGTACTGTAATCACTTACGAGAGAATCCTGAGACTTTGTTTCAATTTTATGACAAGCAATCAAGTCTTATTCGTGGCTTGGAGGGCGAAGAAGTTAAAATATGTCAAGGAGAGCAGGTATACTTTGTTAAAGAACATTATAGAAAATAGTTTATTTCTATATTTTTTAAATATTTAATTAGTATTTCTAAACCATGTTACCTTCCTATAATGGTCATAATTTTATTCAAGTTATTAAAAGCCTTTAAGAGCCTCAATATGAATATGCGAAAAAGTTTTTTAATTAGAGATTTTTTCAATTTTAACAAAAAATTTTTCTTAATTAATAAAATTTTTATATTAGGAAATCAAAAAAAATATTACCGAAATGCAATTAAAAGACACATTGATAAAAATCATTAATGTTGATAGTCTGGATTTTCTTGACGGCAAAGTGGTTATTCAAGTTATTGGAGAAATTTCCAATAAAGGCGAAGCTTATAAAAAGTTTGTTCGTACCGTTATTCTTGTCAAACATACGGATGACAATGACAGATATTACGTTTTAAGTGATATATTTCGTTATTTGAAAGATGAAAATATCAATGTTATTAAACAACAATCAATAGATCAAGAACCATCGTATATTGAAGATGGTTTGTCCACATTAAATGAAGAAAAATCAGCTAATGGAGAAGATACGGTTTCATCTACAGGGACTCTTAATGAAGAATCGGCTCAAGAGTCAAGTCGAGAATCAAAAGTAATCGAAGACAATGTCCCCGATATCCCGCCTACAAAAACGGAAACTCCATCTTTAGCCAAGTCCCCGACAGAAGATTCAATAAATCAAGTTGTAGATGAAAATTCTACCGAAATTGAAAACTCTAATTTATCAGATGTTCGTTCAAAAGTCCAGCCAAGTCCGATCAATGTACAAACTGAAAAGTTGGCAACTACATCTTCAAATGCTACCAATCAGACAATTTCACCTACAGAATCACGGTCACCATCGAAGCATTCTACGTGGGCTAATTTGGCTGCTAGTGATTCCCAAAAGTGGAGTAATTCTCAGCTTGCAGCAGAATCTAAAGGACGAGTTGTTCAGCCACCGTTAACAAGGACACAATCTCAACAATCAAATCGTGAACATCGTGACCAGAGAGACCAGAGAGACCAGAGAGACCAGAGAGATCAGAGAGATCAGAGAGATCAGAGAGATCAGAACACAAGAAACAGCGGTAATACTGTCAATAATAAAGGTATTTAATACTTTTAAACTTGCATTTATCTATACATAAGCGTTTACTTAACTTTATTTCTATTTAGAATTTTCATTATATGTCAAAGGAATCATCGATGGAATGAACAGAACGACGCTTGAGAAAGCATTTTCAAAATTTGGAGCTGTAAAAAATGTGGATGTTGTTATAGCAAAGGTAACAATGGATAATTTGGTTGTGTCGGTTCATTTATGACCACAAATGTTTACCTAAAAATTTATTTTTGAATTTTTTCAAGTCATGTGCATTTGTAGAATTTGGCAATCAAGAAGCTTACCAACAGGCTCTCAATCAAAAAGAAATTGATGTCCCGAATTTTGGACATGTTGTTGTTGAAGAAAGAAAAGCAAAATATCATGATTCACGTCGATATGAATATCATCGCAATTCTTATTCTCACAATGGTATAAACTCACAGCGTGCAAGTAGAAACGCACGCAATATGTCTACTCGTCCTCCTGCCAAATCATAAGAATAATGGTATGTAATTTACAAGTTCTTTTCTTCTTTTTTCCATAATAAATTTATCAAATGATGATTTAAAGGTCTCCCTCTACTGAGCAATTAACAATGGTGAAATAAACCTATCCGGTGTTATATTATTCTGATGTGAAAAGTCATTTAAACAAATATAACAGTAATATAAAGTAATTAACTTATTCCACCAATCTTTTCTAATATAGGTCCTTTGGCTCTTTGCAGTATATATTATTTTGTATATATATGATTATATATTATTACATTAATTTTAATATTAACAAAAAATATTATCATTTAATATATTGTAATACAGTAGATTATTAAAAATGGGGATGAGAAAATAAATGGTCAATAAAAATAAGTAGCGATTTCGACTGTATAGATCTTTTGTATACATTAGATCTCAACTTCTAGTTTATCTAAATTTTAGCATATTTAAATCAAAATTTTTCAAATGCTTTTTTTTTTGTTAATTTAATATCTTAATAAAAATGAAGACACGGTTGGATGATATCGGTGAAAAATCTATTTTTAGAAACAGACAGGACGCTGCAGGGACTGATCTACTTTGCCTGGATTATTGATAAACTTTATTTTCTTAGTCAAAGTCAAATTCACGTGACAATACGTCCAAATCACGTGAACCCGAAACTTTTGTCGGTACCACTGGTGTTGTCCTTCCTATCACAGCCGATCACTCAAGAAGGCAATTTGGACTTTTCCTCGACAAGGTTAATTAAGTGATATTTTATTAAATCTTAACAATTATGACTTATACTGGTCGCGAAGCAACTCCGGGAACGATCTTGACTATTATTTCTTTTGGTTTACTTTTAATAGTAAACCTTATAACGCCAATCATCAAAACATTACATTTCGTAAAAATATTACGGAAGAGTACTTCTGAAGAATTAACAATTGGATTATGGGGATATTGCGCACAAAATAGTGGCGAATCAAAAAGATGTACATCACCAAAAATAGGGTTTGCTTTTGGTGAGCACAATTTTTTTCTTTATTCGAGTGTGATATCAAGTATTTTTCTAAATATTAGATTTGAAAATTAGATGCGAGCACTTCACTAAATCCTAATTTGGCTCCTGACTTACCTGGTGCTGTGAACATAGCATTAAGCTATTTGACCGTGGTTCATATAGTTGGTAAGCTTTAATGATCATTAATTGTCGACTCTCTTGAGAAAAAATAACAAAAAAAATAATTTACATATGTATAGCATTAATTACATTATCTATCGTAACGTGCGTTGGTGCATTTGCGCATACGCGCAAAAATCGAGATAGAGGCCTCATAAGAGTAGCAGCACAGAGTTCTGCTCTTGCTTTTGTTTTCGTTCTTTTTGCGTTTATAGTAGATTTTATCTTGTTTAATAATGGAATTGTTAAACCTATAAACAATAAAGCTGGATCCGTTTATTTAGCAGAATTTGATATCGCGTATTACCTGGTGATTGCATGTCTTGTAAGTTCTGGTTTAGCTACAATAAGTTTTTTTGTAGGGAGAATTATGAATAAACGAAGAAGAAAATCAGAAGAATCGTCGTCATTTGATGATAGCAAAAGTGAAGACTTCCGTTCAGAACAACGAATAAGTGGTTTTAGGGATCAAAATGTTCCAAAATTTGCTGAATTCGAAGAAGATGTTGTAGAAGCTGATCCAATAAAACAATCAACCCCACATTTTCCACTCGGATCTCAACCTGGTCAAGACTATTACTACAGTCCAATGCGTCCACCGAATCCGCCGCAACCTTATCCAATGGGACCTTATCAAGGATACAGTTCACGACCCACAAGTCCTAATGAGCGTTCATTACCACCTTCTCCGCCCGGAATACCGCCACAACAACAATTTTCTTATCCCCTTTCGTCGCAATCTTCTTATCACAATGCATATAACTCATATTCGACTACTTCACCTTCGTATCCACCTGATAGTTATCCTTTTCCTTCCAACCAATCGCCCATATTGTCTTATGATACATATCCAAATTCTAACAATTCTAATATATATCGAGAATATCCTCCACAATCTTCACATCATTGGGGTCAAACGCAACCTCATTATTAGTGTATTTTGCGCAATATGTTATAATTCTAATATAAACTTTCATAATTATTTAATATATATTAATCATATTTGATGATTTATAAATAATAATTACAGCACATCATTCATAAACCACATCATAAAAGTCATATCATTATTGGTTGTTCCAAAATTGTAAATTTAAATAGGAAGATAAAGTCCGGCAGCTGTATGAGCTGCGGAAGATTACGACTAAGAAAGAAAGAACTAGAACTATGTGTAATCCGCGGAAATTTGTTGGTAATTTCGTGTCAGATCATGTACAGCTTACGTTCTATCTTTATAGAGTAGAAATAGCAAGCTTCTCAAAAAGTAAACACACAACTTTTAATATTTCGCCTTAAAATAATTAATCACTCAAACAAGTAAAGAAATCTTAAATACAATTAGTAAAAATGACCAGTGAAAGCAGCGAAGGCAAGAAGGTAACTTTGAAAAGTTGTGACGATGTTGAATTCAAAGTTGAAATACCGGTAGCAAGTCGTTCCATCTTACTTAAGAACATGATTGAAGGTAATTTCTGTAATAGTTAAATATGTGTAAATTATAATATAAGTGAAAGGAATATAAACTTCCTTTCTATATATTACTTTAGTAATATATCTTTAATGTTGGTTTAAGATCTTGTTTGTTAAAATAACAGGATTCTACTTGCGCGTATACCCTAACATTTAACGCGTTTACCTTACTATTTTATGATAGACGTTGGCGAAACCGATCAATCCATTCCGCTTCCTAACGTCAATGAAAAAGTCCTAAAAAAGGTAATTCTATTCATAAACTAAAGTGTTTGTTTTTTATGTTGAGTCGTTGTATAAAATGATTAATAAATTTGTATTTTTTGTCTAGGTCCTGGAATGGTGTCAACACCACGTAAACGACCCTCAACCCACCAATGATGACGATGACTCTCGCAGAAGAAATACTGAAATTGATGACTGGGACCAAAGGTTTTTAAATGTTGAACAAGACATGCTCTTCGAGATTATTTTGGTAAAAAATTTATTTTTAACGATGAAAAGCAGTTTTCAAGTTTTATATTATTGTTAATTTATGTTTTATTCAAAATCAAAATTATTAGGCTGCTAATTATCTGGATATCAAGCCATTATTGTAAATTTCTTTTTTTTTTTTGCTACGTATTAATAAATTAATGAATCTTTTAGTAATAATCCTTTTATTTAAATTTTTAGGGATATTGGTTGTAAAACTGTCGCCAACATGATCAAAGGCAAATCTCCCGAGGAGATTCGCAATACGTTTAATATAGTCAATGATTTTACTCCCGAAGAGGAAGAGCAGATTCGAAAGGAGAATGAATGGGCCGAAGACAGATAAATATAATGAACTAAAACTATTCTTTAATGTAGGTGAAATGTGAAATAAAAAGTTGATTAGTCAAAAGCTTATTTATATTGACCTCATTGTAGTATCTAGCCGCTTTGTAAATTCGAACAGCTTATATAGTTATGTTTATTAACTGAAAATAAGCCACATAAAATTCTATTATATATTTGTGTAATAAAATTACATTTTAATGAAATAAATTTAAATAATTATTTTACGTAACTGTGATTTTAATCTTGGCCAAGCTTTAAATTTACCTATAAATCAACAACCCTAAACTTTGTATATAAGTAAAAAATTTTATAGGTTATAATGTTTGCATATTATTATTAATAGTTTAAGATGCTACTTTAGTTTTAAAAAATAAAGATGTTACCTGCTGCAGTTTATAAATTATTACAATTATAATAATTTAAAATGTATAATAATAGATTTTATTTTTTATACTATATAGATTTAAAGAAGTTTTTTTGTTTAATTTAATGTATTATAATTAATTGAATAGTTATAATTATTGTTAATTATGTGGAATTAAAGGATTCTATATATTATAATAGAATTTTATTACTGCATTTGTTTGTAAATACTAAAAATAAGCAACATTATAATTGTATATTACCCAAAAATAAGTTAATTGTAAAAATTTGCTAAATATTCTTTATGAAATATTAATAAATGTAATCAATAAATTAAATGAAATTTAATAAATTTAGTGTAATTTAATAAGATATATACTATAAATATTAAATAAATATTATGTATTTATAAATAAGTAATTTTATAATAAAATAAGTTGTTATTTTTTAAAAATATTAAATAGTTTAAAAGTGATTTGAATAATTTTTGAAATTATTAAATACAGATGATTCAAATTACTTTACTCTAATAAGTAACTTTACCTAAAAATTGATGCCAATAAAACCAAATAATCTTCAAAATATATAATTGCTTCAAACTACTTTATAACTGAATCAGTTTTGAATCCAATTCCTAGTAATAATTAAAAATATTGATTTCTCAGTTAAATTGTTTAACTTCATTAATTAAACTTAGCTAAAAGATTAGTTATTATAAATGAAATTTATCAATTTTTAATAAACTACTTTCAAACTACTTAAGCAATTTAATATTACTATTATTTTTAAGTACAGTCGACTTCCTATATAGTCACCTCCCATATAATCACATCATATAAAATTCCCCTTTATAAGCACATCATGTTTTGACCTAATGTACTAATAAATATATTAGAAAAACTTCCTCTATAGTCACAACATATAACTTTTTTTATAATCACACCCTTTTTTTCAGTCCCAAGAAGTATGACTATAAAGGGGCCGACTGTATATAATAAATCTTTATATATTTATTTAATTATATAAAATTGTGATAATCTACATTTTATATTAGTATTGAATTTTTTTGTAAGTACAGTCACCACTGGTTATAACGAACCTGTTTGTACTGTAAACTTGTTGTATTGAACCAAGTTTCACAAAACTGATTTTTTTATAATTAATTGCACTGGATATAATGAAATCACATAATAAATTACTATATACCACATCCGAACTTATTTTAGCCAGCCCAAGTATATTAGTTACATATTTAGTATACCGAACTATCACGTGATTTTAATTAGTAATATAAAAGAATAGATTACCGAAAAAATTATTTCTGCTAGTATCAGATAAAATTTTCATTTAAATAGCTGGTAAATACTTAAAAAATTGATGAACACATAAATTTTAAATAAAATATAGTGTTATCTGTCATGTAATCATCTGAACTTTAAATATTACAGTATATGCTGCTATAATTTAATTGGATAAAATTCATATACTAAACAGTTCGGTATATGATATAAATATCATATATTGAATTCACCATATACTAAACTAAAACGCTTGGAACAGCAGGTTCGTTATATCCAGTGGTGATTATATATAGTAAATTTTATCAAAAATCAATTAGTAAAAAAAAATACAAAATACAGTTACACCTCTATAAGTATACGCATTTGAGGCCTGGCCATGTACATACAGTTAAGGAGAGTATGCACTTAAAGAATAGCCAATAGAAAAGAAATCAATATTAGTAATTGGAGAAAATATTTATTTAAGTTTACCTTTATTTTATATTTTTATTTTAATGAAAAAATTGCATATAAAAAAATAATCTGTATTAAAAAGATTGAACCCTATTTTTTATTCAAAAAAATGTAAATTGTCAAATTTATTTATCAACAGCTATTAATAATTGATCAATATTATATAGTTATTACATGAATATATTTATGAAAAGTGTTTTGATATATCCAGAATTTAGAATTATATATATATGTAGAATATAAAGAGTGTGCACTTAACTCTAAGTCTTTAGTTTAAGACCAAACCATGGTATATATATAAGGAGGGAATGCATTTATAGAGAGTGCGCTTATGGAGGTGCAACTGTATTATAAGAACTCTTATCACTAATCACATTTCTAAAAAAAATTTCAGCATCAAATTCATCCAATAATATATTTGCTATTCCAATCACCTTATCTACAAATATGAAAATTTTTGAAGAACCAAAATATCAATCACTGGTCAAACTTGTTGTATAACAAATAAAACTTTTGGATATATCAGTCAAGTTATTTATCTTAAAAAACAAGAACAGAAAAGTAATTTATACCAATAGTGATGATAGTACTTTTGAAGTAAATAGCAGAAAAAATCTCTTTTAAACTAATAATAAAAACTTCAATAATAAAGTCAAGAAGCAACTGCATATACTAGAGAAAAATTAGTTCAATTATATAAACTGGATATAAAGCTTTCTTTAGGGACAATATCTGAAAAATAATTATATATAATATTCCTTTTATATGGATTTAACTTGATATTCTAAACTATCTCAAAGCTTAGAAGTTGAAAATATAGAAAAAATATATCATGTTAACAGTTTTTATAAACCTTAATAAGACAACTTTGGATTAATAAAATAAAGAAGTTTAGACAGCTTCTTTAAGAGGATTATTAGTAAGATAGTTTTTTGCAATCTGGAATTTGAAATAACATAAAAAATGTAAAAGATTTCAAGTTATCATAATGAATATTCCTACTTCTATTATTATAAACATATTGTATTCTATAGAGAACTTAATTTATTTACTACTTTTACCTTTAAAGCATAAAGCTTTCAAGATTATATAAAATAAAGGACATCACATACTAATTATATATTATACTTGTAGGTAAACTTGAATAAAATCATCAATGTGAAGTTAAATTTATAAGAATTTTTGAATATTTAGACTCAATATTTCACATTCTTTTTTAACTGACCTAAAAATAAACTATCAAAAAAAGACTCATTCCAGAATATACATGAAGTCGAAATTAAAGCCCAAAAGTAGAAATATTTTGACTTGGAAAGGTCAAAAGTCGAAATTAAAGTCGAAATAGTTGAAATTACATCATAGTCATGTGATTTTTATAATTATAATTTAATATAAAATTTTAAACATGAATAACTCTGTCAATATTGATGCTACAGATATGAAATACATATCATTGGAATCCTCTCGATGAGCTAAATCTAACCGCGTAAAGATCATAAAGATCGAATCACTGGATGCAAAGATCGTTAACTTTGAATTTTAATATTATTGTTTACTATAAAATCATATGACAGAAGTACAACTTACTACATATACTACTTGGACAAAAGTAGATGCATATGGGCTGATTTGTCTACCTTTAATTAAAATATTAATTTTATTACATTTTTATTATACAAAATACTAATTATAATTTGGGATGTCGTAATTCATTCAATTTATATATAATTTACTATGTAAAGTGCCAAAATAATTTGGGATGTCATAATTGAATTTGGGATTTTACTTATAATTACGGCAGCCCAAAATAATTTGGATGGCATGTATAATTTGGTAAATATTTCTTTTAAATTAATATAATTCTTAGCAATTACTATAATTTATATCTCAACTTAAAACGTAAATATCTCCAGATCCAGTAATCCAATCGGCAAGCTCTTTTTTCGTTTATATAGAACAGATCAAGGGCTTTCCAAAGAGCCTAAATTTATACAAAATAGATCAGTAGATCCCAAGATATTTGCATTTAAGCATGTTAAAAAGTTCATACTTCAACTTTAAACATAAATATCTCCGGATCTAATGATTCAATCGGCGAGCTCTTTTTTCGCCTATAAAGTCCAGAACAAGGGCTTTCCAACGAGCCTAAAATTATAAAAAACGGATCAGTGAATCTTGATATATTTGCGTTTAAAGATGGTAATACAAACTCTAATATAAAATAATTATTTTTATTGTTTGAAAATATCTATTATGATACCATCTTTTATATAATATTTTTATTATACTTTTATAAACATTTATAGCTACTAAGGCTATATAAATTTTTATTTTACTTTATATTTTATTAAAATATACTTACTTTTTAATAATATATGTTAAAAATTCCATATATATGAAAAATGGGTTTTTTATTAGTAAAATATGTTTTTTTACAGCTTTTTTACATTTAATAATTTAAGTTTTGCAAATGTAAATTTTTGTTCAACTTATTATTTAGTCAAGTGATCATCAATCAGATAATTTTTTGGGCAAATATATCATTTTTAATTAAGGAGGTGATGCTCTTTGATTATAGAAGTTAGTTGTATAAACTGTTGTATCGTTTTTGATTATTAAAAAAATAAATGTATCATTTTTGATTATTGAAAAAAAAATTCTATCGTTTTTGATTATTTGTTAGTATCACATGGTCACATGCATAGATTTGACATACTGTATCTTGCATTTGCACATTGGAGACTTTATTTTTAATAACCCACTAAATAATTTCAAATTATTAATCTTATTAATCGTTATTTTTGTTTCCTGCTTCTTGTATATTTTTATTAAGCCATTTAAAACAAAAAATTGCCAACATTCATATGTCATAAATTTAATCTTTATTTTCTCAAAATTTGTCTTTATTACAACTAAAAGACAATAGTATTAATCAATCATCTACAGTCAACTCCCTCTATAGTCACTCCCGTTATAGTCACATTCTACTATATAGTCACACCAGTTGAATGTTAAAAACACTTTATTATTAAAATCTATCCTATATAGTCACAATCTATCTATAGTCACTATCACACCTATCCTCAAAAA